AATTTCCCAAAGTATTGCATGGCCACCCGAGTTTAAACTAGTGGGATGCAAATGGGGCGATTGGATATAAATAAAAATCGATTTTTGATTGGATTTGAATAGTTAAAATCGATTAAAATATGTATTCAATCGCCTTATTTGGTTTAAATGATGTTTGTGATCCCGATTCCAATAGCGACAGATTTTTTTAATTTCAACTATTGAACGAATGTCCTGCATTGCATTACTTACATACAATAGCTTTCAAGAAAATGTTACGGTCTCGTTACAGAATCATTCCGTTAAGATTTGTAACCATTAGATCATAATGTAACTGCCGAGAATAGTTGATCTAACGGTTACAAACTCCGACAAAATAGTTCCGAGAATGTAACATCTCTCTACCTTGTAATCAAAAGGAACCCGATGCGTAGACCTTTTTTTTTTTTTTTTTATCGGCCTATTTATGATGAGATTGCTTCAAATAATTATGAGCAATTAACATCAAGAAAACATGCCAACTTTTTTACTTTGGTTTTAACCATAAATCTGTCACCTTTTATTTCCTTTTAAGATTTATAGTATTTTGTTTGCCCAAACAGTAATGTGCCACCATTGTCCATTGCCCAATATATTTGAACAAAATTTCAAAGTGGACGCAAACAATTATGACGCCTGCCCAAATAATTGACTTAAGGGGCAATTTTTTTTGGTACAAAGAAGGAGGCAAAAACTTAAGACCGTTAGATAGTTATACGCCGCGGGTATGTAATTCCAATAAGGTCATGCTGTAACCACAGTTTAACTGCCGACGGTGAATGTAGGAGCTGTTGATAACTGCTCGGACACTGGTGAGCTAGAGTCGTCAAACAGTCAGCTGCAAAGTTGGTGCAAATTTAAATGCACATACATCCAATTCTTACTCAATGACCACGTAGACTAGAAACCCACAATTCTTCATGTCATGCTAGGGAAAAGCTAAACTAAGAGATCTATTTGGGATGATTGTTGTAGGATCCAAATGAATTTCACCCGGTGGAACTCATGTTATTGGAATCGAATTGTCCGCTAACATAATTCGATTCGGCTTGTGTAAGTTCGAACTCTACTCGCTTATATATTCAAACGGCCAAAACTGAAACATCTAATCAAGTTTATCTATCAATGAACGTTTTTCCGATTACTTCAGTTGGAATTTTAGGTTTTGGTCTAGGTTTTGTGGTTTATTAAATGAGCCGAACCAAATTCATACGAGTTGAACTCGAGCTCACATTTGTTTATTTATTTAACAAGTTGAGACACAACAACTTGTTTGTTAAATAAGCAAGATTTTGAAATGTACTGGAGCTCAAATTATCTTATATCTAGCTAAATGCATGTATAAAGAAGTCAATGTATATATGAAAATAATTTTTAAATATTTAATATAAATTACATGAATGACGTATATACTAAATAATATAAAAATATTAACATTACGTCTATAGCATAAAATATCAATTAGTATATATTTTTGTTTTGTTTTGTCGGTAGAAGACCCTAACTAAAAGTTTTGAATCATTAATTACTCTCTTCTACATATGATAAATCATCATTTGTAACCGATTTATTATTTTTCTTTATAACTTATAAAGATAATTTTTCTCATATATTTTAATTTAATTAGAAAACAACATAATTTATTAAAAAGACTAGCATGCGATGGTGTAATAGTCCATCATTCTTGTTATATGAAATGCCATTTAAAGTTCTTATGTAATTCAAGTCATTTAATATATGCTACACAAATAAATGAGATATAGTATTATATTTCATATACTCAAATATCATTTTTGTAAACTAATGAATATATAAACTGAATTATATGAAGTCCACAAATTTGATTACTTATTAAATACTCTAATGGAAGTCTATCACAATCAATTATTGTTTCACATTAATTCAATGAACAGTTGAATCGATTAACTGAGTAACAAAATATAAACACAAAAGTAAGACAAAAAAAAAAGCCTAATAAGCTAAAAGGAAAAGTGAAAATAAATTTAAATTATGTTTAAAAAGCCTAATAACCTAAAATAATATTCATATATGGCTTCTCGAATATAACTTAAACTAAAATATTCTTTATTAATACAAATTTAAAATTGTCGAAAAATTAAGATAAGGCTGGAGCCCACCCAACCTTTGTGGTGGCTCCGCACCTGGTTAAAATCTCGTATGACAATGTCTACTAGAATAGAGTCGAATTTGTCAGGTATTGTCGGATATCACTTGTGAGTTGTTCAATGCACATTGATTTTGATAGGGTAAATGAGCATAGTTTATATAAGTCTAGTGGGTTAATCATCCCATCACGAATTAGTTTTATGATGGAACCTCATTTGGGCTCACCCTGGTATGGTGCGCTTCACATGTGTGGAACTGCACCCTTGATCTCCGATTATCAAAATTTGACATGTATCCCTCAATTTAGGAGAATTACTAATGTTGAAAAATTGTTGCTCATGGAATCCAATATTTATTTATTTTTGATATATATATATATATATTTATAGAAATATATTGTATCATCTTTATCTTGCTATAGTATAGTTTGTTAACAAGTTAGTGATAAGGGAAGATGGTATTATTAAAAACCAATGAGAACACATAATAATTCATTTACTCGATGGCCACTCGAGGATGCTATTTTTTTCTCAACACCGTAAAGCATAAAAGGGTGTTGAAGAATCATTGTCCTTTGTCCATTTGCATTCATGATACAACATATTTTATATAGTATTTCAAATAATTTTGTGATATTAATTTTTTGCATGCCTTCATTATATTAATCTTAATATTGGGATAAATCATCCCCGGTAATATCAATATGTGGCCGGATAACCCAAGAATGCTTGGATGAGATGGTTTGGGTCTCTTCCACCTTAACCAGTGGTCTCGTGTTCGAGCCTTGGGAATGCAACAGTGTTAAAACTCTTGAGGGAGAGCTTTGTCGCCCTTGTGGTCCTACCCGGCTCGATTCCGGATTAGTCGGTTCCCTTGTGGATCCAGAAAC